AGAGTTAGTAGAAAATTTAAATGGGTATTTCCAGTTTCTGTTATCGAGCATATTCGATCTCTTTCTATCCGAACTGTCTGTTGTTTCATCAAATGATAGGGGAGTGCAGATGGCACTACAAACCCGCGGAATGACTTATGGAGCGGTTGTAGGCTAATTTTTACATGACGGATACGACTTAAATCAGAGGGCACCACTAGAGGATCGAACCTCGGCTCAGGCTGTCGTAAATTCGATCTTTGTTTGAATTGGATGTGGGATCGATCGGAGAGGAATTTGATCTTACGACCATTAATGTCTAAGAGAAATTTAAATAAGATATGTAGATAAAATCTTTGCGTCCACCTAACAATTTAGCTTGTGGCAATAATGTTTATACTAATAGCACATAAACATCCGGTTGGGCTTTTGATAGCGCTATTATTTCCTACTTTAAACTGTATTAAGTTAATCTGTTATACATTCGATTAGTCTAAGTTAAGGTTAGGTTGGCGTCGTACGTTCGCATTTGGTTGCTACAGCCTTTCCTCCTAGGGTATACTCTAATAGGAGTCCAAATTAACGTTAGACGTATTCGTGCAACCTAACGACAAACCGACTGTATACGCACGGCCTTACAATTCAGTTTATCCGACAGATCGACTCCACCAATGTGTTTCCTAATAATGTCGTGTATAGATAGCAATAAAGCGACCATTGCTGCTGTTTAAAAATAAAAAGGCGACATTTGCAGCTTGTGAGTCTTTTCATTACGATGACGTCCATAATGATAACAAATGATAGCACATATGTTCTGACTTCTCGCCATTGCATTACAGTTTAATTTTAAACATATTACTGCAGGCAACTTACGTCACTACTCTTTATATGATTCTAAAACTTATCCAGGAGACGCCATAGGTTATACTTATTGATAAAATTTCTAAAACACTAAATAATAATAATCTAATATAAGATGTTTAATTTTCTAAACAGAAAAATCTTATATTAAACCACGTGGCCAGCTATAACCTCGCCTAAAAGTAAAATCCAGTGTTCACCAGTGGGAGCTTAATGAGTTGCTTATCATCTGATCTGATCTGATCATATATCCTTATGACTCTTAATCCCAAATGGGGTAATTAAAGGCATAATAAATGGTCAAGTTGAGTTGTTTAAGTGTGCTTAATTTGGAAAGATAAATCTATATAAATAAATATAATTGTAGTAATTTGTAATTTAAAATTAACACCTCACTAAATGCGTATGAAAATATATATGGTACTTACTTAAAATAAAATAATTATTTTACTAATTTTAGTCAGTTGAACCGATTTTGATGGAACTTGCAGTCACATATAGCAACTTAAGCTTTCTTTTATTTATTTTTTTTTTCAATTTTAATTAAAAATAAAAGTAAAAATTTACGCAGCCGAAGTCGCAGCTAACAGCTAGTGACTTATATAATCATAATTAGGTATTACTTTTTATTATGACTGAATATAACATATTATTAACTATAAACAACACCAGCTGATCAACTATCTAGCCACCCTAAATAAACTACACCAAACTACTTTCTCTGGTAACTATTTAATGAAAAAAAAGTTAAATATTATTCAACAGTTTTACGACGTTACATGGTTTATAATACCAAATATGTATTGCGTAACCTTACAAATAGATTCAATGAATCGATTGAATGATTGATTTAAATAAATGATCCATCAGTCCCTTGGTTGATTTTCACATATTCATAATTTCATAAAGCGTCAGTAGTAATTAATATGTGTATATCTATTGTATGTATTAATATATTTTATATTTATTATTATTTATAGATATGTATTTATTATATATATACTTTTGTAATATAACCTCATTATACTAAGTGTTGCATGATATTGTTAAGTTATTTCATTAAAGTTAGCCGAGCACCTAACATATCAATTCTGTCTAATGATATCCTCTGAACACGATACAGGCTTGCATGTCTAGTGTGTGGTTCGCCGTAATGTGTATTAAATGTAAAAGTGTTTTATTGGCCAATAAAGTTTATAATAATAAACTATATAACAAAATGGTGACGAGATAAAAGCTTTATTTTCGGGGATTATAAAAGGGAATGGTGCACCCGCCTGACATGGATGCGGTGTCGGGGCACTAAGGACGAGAAGAAGAGCATGAAGAGCGGTTCCCTCTGGAAACCACAATGGTTCCAGAACCGCGTGAAAGTTAACCCGATGTGGGCAATTCCTCATTACTAACAATCACTTGCCCTCCTCTGTTTCTACGTAAGATCTCAACGCATAGTTAAGGTTTCACGTAAAAACAGCTAGAGGAATTGGTATGAAATTCTTAAATGTGGTTATAATAAAGAAAGCTGATACATTTATGATTAAAATAATAGATGGTGTTATATGCGCGTATAAATTAAATTATAACGTGAGTAGACAGTCTAAAAACCATATTTCAAGTAAACTAAACTGCGCTTGAAATATATTATTTTATCGCTCGTATGATGTACTATATTATAAGTACATAGATGCCGATATTCAGTAACAAACTAATACAATAAAAATTATATAGGTTACACGTAATTTTAAAATAATCTTATAGTTGAGGCAAATAAATGTATACTAATATATTAATTATAATTATTGTTGTCAAATGAATCATGCAACTTAGCAAAACATATAATTAATTGATACATATAATACTTCCTTAAATTACGTCACATGCGCGAGTTTATCGACCCATACGATGGGTCCTAGATTTGGGCATTACAGCCTAGACATAATGGTCCAAACCAATGTGGTCGCATCTGTATTTATAACTAGCTGTACCGGCGACGTCATACGCGTGGATTTTTGTAACTTTACTTTATTTTTATAAGATAAAAGATTTTTTCTAAAATTAAAGTAGCCTAAATTACTCCTTAATTCATCAGCTATTTGCCAATAAAAGTCCCTTTAAAATCGATCCAGCCATTTCAGAGGTTAGCCAGAGCAAACAGACAGACAAAAATTGAAATAATGTTTTTTTTGGTTTATGTGCTGTATTTATATTCATATGCATGTAGTAAAATCCGGTTATTTCTGTATTACAAACAGACACTCCCATTTTATTTATATGTATAGAATCAGATGTCTGTCTTGTAAATATATCAGATGTTGTGTTTGTGGCTTGTATGCGCCATATAAGTACATTTTTCTTTTTTTTCTATTTTGTGACGTAGCATATCAATGGTAGTATTGAAACACGAAATATTAACTATAACATGATATTATTCTTTAATCTTTACATAGTATAAAATTAAGTCGTTTCCGCTGTCTGTTCGCTTAGATCTGTTAAACTACGCAACAGATAGATAGATTCAAGAGAACGATTTATAACGTATGTACACCCGTGCGAAGCCGTGGCTGGTAGCTAGTATTATTATATAATAAAAAATTGGTATAATTTCATAGATTACATAATAAGACAGGTGTGCACTTATGCAGGTAATATGCACATTAATATTTTCTACGTGGCCGTCGACCATGATTTTCTTTGACATTTACAGCCCAGCCATTTAATTGAGGGGGACATCATGCAATTTTATGAAGATCTTTCTTAATACGCATGCCGACATTTCTGTATTGGTAAAAGTTGATGGTTTTTTATAGTACCGGTTATAATTCTGACCACATTTGGACTTGCAGTTTTTTACAGTAATTTAACGATGTACGTCGAAAGAGTGAAGTTTGTGCATCATGGAATTTCATTGTTGTTTCATGAACTGGTCTGCTCTGATATGTATGACTGATTTATTTTGTTACTCAAGTAATTATTTACATGTTTATATCAACTTTGATGCTTAAAAAGGTAATGATGAACAGCATGAATTTAAAAGAGCAACACGCAAGTGTCTTACTCCTTCTTCTTATGATGAGTTTGCAGTTTAAGTTTTCGAATGAATGTTACCATCAAAAAATATGACTATTCAAAAGTGTTGATACTAAATTTATCTGAGTAAATATTATACCCATCTCTAAACTAGAAATGATTCTGTCAGTCAAAACTATAATATAGCAAACATTTTAGTTTTGACTGACTTATTGGAAGAAAGCGATTTTGGATTCGCAATCAAGTACTGCTTACAATTCTTGCTTTTATTAAAAACTACTATTACTATTTAAGTATCAAATGAAATTATCATAATATATATTAACTATACAAATGATAAATATATACACTTACGAAATACTTGTTTATGTATATAAATACATACATATATTTATCATTCTATACATAGGTATAATAAATGATATTTATAATATTTCGTTTTGTCTCTTCGTGATACACTCTACTATGATAATATGATTTAGGGACATTAAAATAAGGTACGAATTCGTATGTATTCATATATAGTAGAAAATCAGGTTTGGCTTTGTGTGTAGTAACCAACCACTATTTGACAAGAGCGCCGATGAACCCCGCGCCGACTAGACTAACCGGTTTCGCAAATATGGTATTAGATTTAAGGCTACAATTTAAAATCAAAGTTAGAGGACAGATTCAGTGCAAGATCACGTGGTCTCACACTTTACTCTACAATTTTTTCTTACTTCCGATGGTCGTGGATTCGATTCCTCGCCCGTAACATTTTTACAAATATTTGTATTCAAGAGGATGATTGTTTGTATCGGTCAGTGTGTTTTCTATTTATACCTAATATGTATGTATTTACAAAAAATAAATCTATGTATTTATATCGGTTGTCTTGTACCCATGACGCTCTGCTTAGCTTGGGACTACATGGCGCTGTGTCAATTGTCTTGAGATATTATATAATTATTACTATGTAAGAGTGTTGGAAGTTATGATGTGTGAGTTTGAAGTAAGTAAATAAAATTAATTTTAACATAATTTGGCATTTAGATTTGCTCTGGCATTCCAAATATTTCAAGGAAATTAGCAATGTTCAATGAAAAAAAAAACAGAAATGAATCATGTCCGAGAATATGAATACTGGTTCTTACCTGGTTTGAGTTACTGGACAAGCGAAAGATGAATCTGAAACAAGAGAATAATTATTATATACATATATTATTATAATTTTTATAAACCGGTCATTGTCAACAATATAAGGTGTAATCCATTCAAATAAATGAAATTTAAAATGTCTGTTTTGAATTTCAAATTAACAGAAACAATTTCACATTATTAATTAAATAAAAATTGTAACTATGTCTGTTTGTTCTTGCTAGTCTCTGACACGGCTGGAGCGATTTTGATGGGATTTTCCCTCGCAAATAGTAAATGTTATAACGAGTAAGTTAGCATACTTTTATTTATTAAAAAAAATCCTACAAACGAAGTCGCGGGTTACAGCTAGTTTATAGATATAAAAGATAATAGACAAAACGTAACTAGTCAGTTGCAGTTGTTAGTTCGCTATTTTACGGCTATCGCAGTGAGGCTATCTTATTACCATAAAGAAAACTCATTTCTCGATATTACAGTTCCATCAAATTTTATGTTGTGATATGTTACAAAACCTTTGGTACCTCATTAACAAGTAGGAAGTTATATACGGAACAAAGCGACAGATAATTCCACAGTAAAACATTCGCCGATCACATAACACTGTTTCATTGCTTGTTACTGTGTTTTGCGGGTGACGTGTAGGAAGCGAAAGGAGCATTGTTTTATAAACTTCTGTATGACATATGTTTTACATAGAATTCGTATTGTTCGCACGTGGGACTGTGCGACTCATTGTGTGCAACGGCTTCATAAGCTGTAGGTCGAAGAGTAGTACCTAACGTTTCATATGCATTAGGTCAAAAAAGAGTTATACTTAATGTTTCAAACGCAGTAGGTCAAAAAAAGAGTTGCAAATAATCGTTACTAATATTATAAATGCGAAAGTAACTCTGTCTGTCTGTCTCGCTTTCACGCCGAAACTATTGAACCGATGTAAATGAAATTCAGTACACAGTCTAGATGCTGACAAAGGACATAGGCTACTTTTTAATGCGAAAAAAGATTTGCAAGGGGTTGAAAGGGGCGATGAAAAGTTATATGGAAATCATTTTACGCGGACGAAGTCGCGGCGCGCAGCTAGTGCTTCATATGCAGCAGTTCAGAAGCGAGTTGTACTGAATGCTTCATAAGCAGGAGGTCAAAAAAAGAGTTGTGCCTAATGCTTCATATGCAGTAGGTCAAAAGCAAGTTGTACTTAATGCTTCACATGCAGTAGGTAGAAAATAGATGTACTGTTTATACACAATAGCCTTTAATGGTACTCGGACCCGTTTAGTAATTTAGTTAATTAGTGAGTTTAGTCCGAAATAGAAATTTTTGTTTCAATAGTTTTTACATAATTTAATGTTTCTTTATTTGTAACATTTTAAAGTTAATAGTTAAAAGTATAGAATTAGCTATTAAAAACTATATATTGGTGAATTATTGCTAGTTCTTATTTGAATGATTGAAAATATTGTAGACTGATTAAAACCAAACTTTCATGGAAAGAAATCCCACTCTCTTATGTTTTTGTACACGTAGAGTGTATTTTAAATTGTAATATACATCATATTAATTATTTTTGCTTGTCATTAATGTGACAGTCTCGGTGGTCTAGCAGTTTAGCACACCGCTTTACTTCTGATGGTTGCGGGCTCAATTTCTCAAACAGTACAAATATTTGTATTCATAAGTATGATTGTTTGTATTGGTATAGGTGTTTCTTGTATATATTATGTATGTATTTAGAAAAAAAAACATACAAGATTAGACTTTAGATTAGATAGCGCTATGTGATTTGTCCTACGTTATTATTATTTAATGAATTTTGAATTTCTCTGAGCAAATGAGATACTTGATCTGATAAACAAACGCGCAGTTTACACGAAGCGTAATATCAAAGATGCGCGACAATTAATCTATTTATAAACTACATCAGATAATGCTCCATAAAATGGAACCATAGAATTATGTGAATAAGGCACAATAACATTTGTATGTAATTGAAAACAAAACGTACTCATAAACTCCGTTTCAATACAAAACTGAAGGGAGCTGGGAATGTCCCACGCTTCTAAGTGTTATGTGTAACGATCTTACGTACTATTACGTGAATAGTAATAGTATACTTAATTAATTATTACAGAAAAACAAGGGCTATAGTCAACATATGTAGAAATAATATATGAAACGAATTTATAAACGAACTAATTTCACCAATATCAACAGCAAGAGAATAGTAATGTAATTCGACATCTTTACACATAAAGACAACCTTTCGTATCCCTGTGGCGCCTAATATATTTTTTTTGACTTTGTTTTATGTTTTCATTTTATGTGTAAGTCAAAGTGTATTGTGTTTTTCTTTTCTTCTTATGTATAATTTTCTTACACATACATATATATTTGTTTATAGTACTTTGTTCGTAATATTTCTGATATAAATAAAGAACTTATCCACACAAATTGAGATTACATTAATAGAAAATAGAATATTAATTGCTTTATGTATATACATAGACAATGGTCCACATTTAAATATTAGGAGTTAAAGAAGGACCTCTTTATATGATGTCTCGCTGATTTAATGTTGTTAGAAAATAGATCATGTTAACAGTTTTATATATGATATTAAAACTATTAATAGTTAGCAAATATGATGATATAAAAAAAAGAAATATTACTGAACAAAGTATGTAAGCGGCAGTGCGTGCGGCCATGACGTACGGCTCTGAATGCTGGGCGCTGAAAAAGCACCAAGAGCAGAAACTCAATGTCGCAGAAATGAGAATGCTAAGATGGGCTGGTGGCATAACAATGGTGGATCACATCAAAAACATCCACGTTCGAGGTAGTTTTAAGGTGACTCCCATACAGGAAAAGATTTTAGAGAGCCGCCTAAGGTGGTACGATCATGTCATGCGGCGACCATCAGACCACATGACAAGAACAGTGCTACCCTAGTACAACAACAGTCCTACCTATAAGTACCCAGCCCAGAAGACGCGGCAGACCCCGTCTCACATGGATGTCCGTTATTGAGAGGGATATAAAAAGCGCCAAAATAACATCCTAGACAACCCAGGACAGAACGTCCTGGCGAAGACTGACCAGACGGGCCGACCCCAAATAAATGGGACCAGGGCCAGGCAAAAGAAGAAAGACTGAACAAAGTATGTAACGAACTGAAATAAGTAATAAATGCTTATTGTAAGCAATTAGTGTATAATTTCTGAACAAAGGACAATGTTTGTCGTTCTATCTACATGTGAGGAACAAAAATATACATTGTTTTGTCTCGCTTTTGTGACTGTTCATTTCTAATTTTAAGTTATTGTTTTATCCGGTACTGTAATACAAGTTAAGGATATTGGGCTGGAATGTCATCCCTGAAATATAGAACTGTATTCCTAGTAGGTATCCCGGGTTTATTTGTACGTATATTTTATTATTATTATAATTGTTTTTGTCCTAAACCTATTATTAACTTACACTATTGGATTGTGCGATATCAGTTTTAAAATATTATGTCCGCCGTTAGTTTCTAAATAAATAAAATAAGAATAAAACGTATATTTATGCTTGTCTACGTGTGCTTATTTTGAGAGCATATATAACAACTGAGACCGCTACTTTATATTCGTATAGCTTTTTTATTTGTACGCCGATTTGATAACACACATATAAAATATTACGTTAAGTTTACCACAATACATTTGTGAAAACCACATGCAAATGGGCTAAACAGTTTCTGAGATTAGTGCGCAAAACAGATATAAATTCTAAAAATGCTTGTGTTCGTTTCTATTGCGATAATATTATCTAACAATGATATCTTTTCTCAATAGTTGAATGAGGATAAAAACAAGAGTCGTGTCTTGACTGAAACAAACTTTTTGAACTCATCGTCAGATATATACATATAATGAAAAATAATTTATTTGCATTCTAAATACATATCAAAATAAAACAATTCACAAATACAGTAACAAAAATAAAACAAGTAAATGTACGCGGCATATGACGGTAGTAAAACGGTTGTAGTACACTTATTCGTTTTTTTTTTTACTAATGTAATGCTGTTGGTCGCATTTGGTCTTTACAGCTTCACCGAACTATGGCAGTCCAAACTCTAGGGAGGATTTATTGAGCGCTGGAACGCTAACTCTCGTTGACGGATGTGTCTTTAGTCTGAGGGCACGACTAGGGATTCGAACCTCAGCTCAGGCAGTCGTAACTTCGATTTACGTTTGAATTGGGCGGTAGATTCATCGAATGAGAGATCGTTCGTAGGGGTACTTACTCGTTTGAAATGTCGTATATTAATGTATACTTAATTTGCTAAATGATGAACGAGCCTTAAGAAATTGATTTATGAACAATAAGTAAGTCTAAGTAACTCCTACATTTTGTAAACCGATCACATTTCAGAGCTGTGTAGTGGGTGGCAACATTGATCGGAGGAAATAAATCAAAAGACGAGGCCTCGGTGGACTAGTGGTTTAGCACACATTTAGTAGGATGGTCGCAGGTTCGATTTCTGGCACAAATATTTGTTCATGATTATTTGTATAGGTCCGAGTGTCGTCTATGTTATGTACGTATTCAAAAAAAATGTATTTATATTAGTTGTCTAGTACCCATAACACAAGCTCTGCTTAGCTTAGGATAAGATGACGAATTGTCCTGATGTATTAATAATGATTAGAGGTACGGTTACTTATTTGCTGTTTCTTTTTACTTTAATTTAATATACATAAAGTTACTATTTTTATTAATTTTGAAATTATTTTTATTTTACAATATCTAATTAAAATATATATATATAGCCCATTAGTATTAACACAAATAACATCATTAGTAATAATGTTGCAGTTTATAAGGGATGAAAATAACCTATCAACTAAGTATTTTTTTGTATTTATACATTACAAACAAAAAAATAAAATCTTTTTTATTTTTTATTACATTTTCTATAAAAAATATATTTAGTTATTAGCTACTTATAAATGAATCATAAGAACATTCCATCAATAGACAAAAGA